TATCCATGGGAGGTAGTCAATTTCATAACAGGTGGAAGACGACTTGACAAACCGGCAAATATGGACAATGCGTTGTTTAAGATAGTAAGCGATTCATGGAGAAACAATTCAAATGAGCGAAATGACGCGTGTAAAATAGAAAAAAGTCTTGGTGAGTATTATTTGAGTCTGAATTGATTTATTGTTGATTGAATTTGTGTTAAGTAACAAAAATGAATGAATAAGAATTGACTTATTTAGAGGCAAACAGCAAGAATGGCATAGTATTTACTGTTACAGTTGAATCGCCCATGTTTACTCATTATAGCGTCATAAGCATTGGAATCACCAGAAAGACATCTTCCGGTGTATTTCTCGGCAACGTACACAAGAGCACTGGAGACATTGGATATACACTTTCCAGTGTATTTTTCTGCTACAGCAACAAGCGCTCGGTTTTCATCCGAAAGACATTGTCCAGTGTATTTCTCAGCTGCTGCAATGACGGCGCTGTGTTCGTTAGAAAGGCATTGTCCAGTGTATCTTCCAGCAAGGTTAACGATCGACATGTTGTCTCTTTTTACAATTCTCTGAGTTTAAATGTTGTTCAAATGTTTACAAAAACACAAAGTGTTTGAGTTTTGACAAGTGTTCGTCATTATTGCGTTCGATGTTATCATGTGTTTACCATTATCATGTTTTTTGAAATGTTTTGGTTGTTTTTTATTACCATATTTCGATGAATTATACAATAAAATTGGTCACTTTATTATTAAAAATATTGCTTATAAACATCACACCTTAAAATAATTAAATAATAAATTATAAGTTATTATAACTTAAACCAATAGTCTATATTTATCATAACATTGACACATTTTATTATTTTTAAAATACAAAATAATAAATATTATAATATATTGATATTATAACAACTTGATACAATATATTCCAATTAAAATAAAAAAGTATAAGTAACTTATGGTACTTCGAATATTTTTGTATAATATCTTAATAAATTTGTAAATCAATTAATTAGATAAGAACAGCAAACACAACAAGAATAATACACAGATAAACTGGAATTGCTGAATTTTCTTGGTTGTTATTCTCATCATCTGTTTCCGAGTGATCTCCAGATGGTTTATCGGAAGGTACTTCAGGTGCTTTTTCGGTCGGGTCTGACCATGCAGCCACCCCATCAACACCATAACATCTAAACAGCACCCCATCAGTGCACTTGTTACATTCATTTCTTTCGGTTGTAATATCTTCATTGAATTGATCTTCGGCGCACACCCCCGAAGTGAAACCTCTTTTGACCAATTTGTTTTTACCATCTTCATTTAAAATTGTGTATCTGAAAAAGAAATCTTCTTGGAAGCACGCGTCTGTATAGTAAACCCCGTCAATGGTGTCGCCATCAGCACAGTTCGTGTTTTTATCACCAAGGAAGCCAAGATATTTAACACCAGATGGAGCTTCTTTTACATACTGAGGACCAACTACCTGCATTGTGCTTGGAGTACCTGTACAGTCCGATTTGCTGTATTTGTTCTGGTTTGGATAATACTCAGAAGGACTTCTATTTGTGTACATCACTGAGCCAGTTCCAGTCTTTTTGCACTTATCAATAGCATATAAACGATAGAGGGCTTTTCCTCCACAATGGGTGTAATCAACGATAGAAAAATCAACTTTAGCAAACGAGAGAGTTATCAACAAGAATGCAAGCATTTATGGAGAAAGAGATATGTACAGTGTTTAAATTATGCTTTCTTTTGTGTACATTCATCAATAAACTATTATAAGCTTCTGCATTTTGCTGTTTAAATTTAACTGATTCGTTTTTATTTTCAATATATTAAAAGCAATGGATTATTTATAAGAAACAATAATTTAATTACTATCGATTCATTTGTTCCACAATTAAGATAAAATAAATAATTTGTTTTTGTGTGTTTGTATCTATTTATATAACAATTATAAATGTCTTATACTTCAATAATTTTTAAAATTATGTAATCTTATGTAAAAACAATAATCGATTGGTTGTGAATAAAATTTAACAACTCAAGTTTAATAATTTCTTTATATGGATAAATGAAAACAAAAATATTCAAAATAATTAATTTTGGAAATTTGATTTATTGGATAAAAAATAAACATTCTCTAAATTGTATCAACATTGATTTAACACAAAACGAATTTCAATTGGTATTTAAATAAGGTAATCTTGGGTTTATATAATACATTTTCTGTTTCAAAAGTTTATCCCATGCATAACATTACACAAACAAAAAGTATTAAACATCATACACAACACTGAAATAAATTCAACGCAAATATATTTCTTATACTCAAACGTGTATTGACACTAGGAACGACCAGAATTTTATTTACAATTTGATTAATTTTATTAACTAATTACAATTATTATAAATGATAATTAAACATTATAATATACAGAAGAAAACAAAGTAAAATAAGATTTGTTTTTAAATTAACAATAAAAAAGTATGACAATACACAAATTAAATAAATACTTTTGTAAATGACAAGAGTATGTTCGGACTTTAGGCAAGTACAAAGCTGATTATTAAAAACAAAAAAACACGGCCTTTTTGATTTTTGAGTATCTTTTTGAGACAAAACACCAATGAAATACTTCATATAACACAACGAAGCTTTATTGAAAAACTTATCGCTTTTTAGTCGATAACAATAAAAAGCGTGTACGCATATTAACAACATTTATAACCAAATTGAATAATGAAATCAATTCATTAAGTTCTTTCAAAATATAAAAAAAACTTTCTGAACGCCAAATATGACAATTTCTAGCGGCGAAAACAATTGACCGCTATGTTGGACGTAAACAATAAAGCCACTAATTAACTACATCTTTCATATGGCTGACACTGTTGTCTTGGATTAAAACTGCTTATTCTCTTACACAATCATTATTTCAATTTCCAGTTTTGGTTTAAGACGTCTTATAATCCACAACATTTATATGTCTTTCGGTAATAAGAGTTTTATTTTTATATGTTATTTCTACATAATCTCTGTTCTTGTTTTTTTGTAGATTTCATTTTTATTTTCAAAATTGATAATATTATAATTGGCTTCAATGTGGTGTTGTTGGCAAATATGGCTGCAATCAATGTTATACGTTTTAGAAAGCAATCAACAGAGTAAATGTAGGTGCAGCAACATAAATATTGATTTTTTTCGAGTCCATAAATAAATAAGGCCCGCTTTTGTCCAATTCAATAAGCAGAAAAAGGTAAACTCTATTTGAGTGAACAACTTTTTATTAAATATTGTTTATCGTTGTTCAACAAATCAACAACTCTAATTTCATTGCTTTTCAACTAATCTTATTTCAACTCATTTCTCGCCTTTTCCATTGATTTTTTGATGTTTTTAATCAAAACCTTTCTTCTCAAAACTGTTTACAATAGTTTTTGATATCTTCTTATCAACAACAATATATTCTACAACATTTCCAAGTTCTTTGGTAATGTTTTGTTATTCTAGAATTGTTTTTAATGACAATGGCACTGTTGTTTGCTTATTTTCTCGTTTTTTAAAGACTTTCCTTCGACATCATCATACAAGTTGTTGAAGCTTGCAGCCGAGTATAAAACGTTAACTTTTGCCTTCGTTTCAATTGAAACTCTCTCAAGTCGTTTTTAGTTTCTTTACAGTTTCATTTGTTGTTGGAGTATTTGACATTTCATAATTTTTGTTGTGTGCTTTTCACAAACATTCAAACAGACACAAGTTTAACTTATTTTTGTGTTGTTCCACAACACACCAAAACCACTATTTTTGAAGCGAGTTTCCGATGTGGTTTGGACAAATTATAGATTTCTAAATACAGTTGCATTTATTATTTTTATTATAAGAAAGGTCATTTTTATTAATAATTATGATTTGAACTGTTTTGAAAGGTTGTTTTAAAATAATACCAACAAATTGACATTCAATCGTAATATATATTATCTACTAATTGGGTTTTTTCCTGTTTTTTTATCTAACAACCGACTTTTATTTATTGTGTTATCAAAAATAATAATAAAAAGTTTGTGTGACCATAACTTTGATACTCATAATTATGTATACAATTGTTTGTATTTTATGTTAATACAAATGTTGTCTGTATACAAGAGAAATACACCAATTTAACAAAAATATTATTTTCGATTACATTCCAATTTTACTCAAAATGAAAAAAGGTGAAAAAGCACTTACATTTTCTATTCTAATGAACGTTTGTGAATACGTTAAATGTAATATCATGAATGTTCAATAAACAGCTCTAAGTTTCATTCAATTGTAAATCAATTGTCATGCTGTCAATTATTGCATTTATATTAGTTATTGTTTGTGTTTCATTATTCGAACATCGAGAAAAAGCATTTTATAAAAACTGTTTTCACTATGATATCGTTTTTATGATTACAAATATATATTTTTGATTGAATTTTAAAAAAGTTATTTATATAATAAATCACCACTCAAATGTAAAATTTTAGAGGAAAAAATATTTGTTTTTAAAATTCACTTTTTTACAATAGTTTTATTTGCCTAAAAGCAAATAAAATATTTTTAATATAATTTCAATGATGCGAAGGAATCTCTTCCAATCGTTAAAATATAAATAAACTGAATTTTTATACAAATAACGATAATTTTTACTCAACAACTCTTTTATTGACTATAGTCATTATTAAATTATTGTGAATACACAGTTTAAATAACAATAAAACCTTTCATTGGTAATTTTAAAATAATAACAATACATAAAAAAGATGATTTTAATTAATCAAAATATAAACGCTCATCAAGAAAATATAAAACAATCAAAAATATAATTGATTATAAGATTGTTAAATTGTAAATCCACCATTAAAAGGTTTAACTCTTTATAATTAAATCATTGAATTAATTTATAATAAATAAAATATATAGGTATTAATAATATATTAACATTAAATTTACAAACAAATATTTTGAAACCTACCCAAATTCCCATTTCTATATTTTTAATAAATTTAATTTTGTTTTATTTTTAGATAAATATATCCAATATACTTTTTATTTGGTTGCATATTTTAAGGGTTTATTTTTAGAAAACTGAATTAGAAACTTATAATTGAAAATGGAACATCACCACATCGCACACCCATTCAAAGAGGTTTACTTGCCAACTGAAATAACTTGTTTGACTTCAATGGACTATCTCTCAAATATCTCTTCCAAAAGCGACACAACAAAGAACTTATTAAAAATGCCACAAAACCCAAAACTTTCTAAAAGTGAAAACCCTTCAAAAAATGTCAAACATAAAAAGCGTTATTCACAAAAATTCAAAGAAGACAGACAATGCGAAAAAACAGGGAAAAAAATATCTCTTCGAAAAAGTTCTACGATAGTTTGCACCTCTCTAATTTCACACCATAATGAAGACTTTTCAGAAACTGAAATCGATGACAACGACATCACAAAAACTTCAAGAGATCTGCAGATCTCAAAAATTAACAAGTCAACAGTCAACACACACAAAAATCAAATTCAAAAAACAATGACAAAAACAAACGAAAACATCGAAATATCAAAAAATGTAAAAAACGACACGTCACTACAAAACGAAGAAAAACGCGTCTTTTTCCTCTCAGACAAAATGGGTATGGTTTATAGCAAAATCAAAAGAAACGAGATTAACACGGGAATAGCAAAGTATTTTGAAACCCAGAAGACAACTGGGTGGTCTTCAATCGACCTTAAACTGTTCAAAGTTGTTGGCCAAAACGGGATAATTGGAGTCGAAGAACTCATAACAGACGATGAAATAAAGTACTTCTTTTTTACTCACAAAATTATTGATGAAAACGCGATAAGGTGGTCTTTATACGAAAGGGTTGAGTTTTTTAGAAGTGTGATTGACTCGATGTTATGGTGAATTTATTTTGTTATTTTTATTACTTTTATTTCCATGTTATTATTTTTTATTGACAATCGGTTTTGTTTGATATATTTGAGAAACAAAAGTAATAAATCTTATTAAATATTTGTATTGATATACATAACATTGTATAGGATTTTGTATAACATCGATTGTATTTATTTTTTAAAATACAACTGATATATATATATATGATTTTTTATTGATTGCTAAAAACAAACGACTCAAATTGTTTAGTAACAAACCACAAAACAAGATTGTAAATTACAAATTCGATAAAAAAGTTGGTTATTTATGTTTAATTTGTTTATTTTTCACAACAAAACCAATATATTAAACTTTGTTATATCATACATTTTCGCATTATCTTTTTAAAGTTGAATTGTTAATTTAATTTGAGTTTGAATCGCTCTCAGAATCGGATTCTAAATCGTCAGAGTCCGAATTATTGGCACTTCCGATATTAAAAGCTTCTTTTGGTATCATCGAGTTATCACGAAGTAAGTCACAAGAGAAAAAGCAGTTGGTGCCAATCTTAGTTACAGTGGTTGGTATGTCAATAGAACTTAGTGACGTGCACAAGTCAAACATATGTGCTGGGATTTCTGTGATTCCTTCAGGAAGAACAACTTCTTTTAAATTGGCACAACTGAAGCAACTGTAATATCCAACAGACTTGATGTGAGAAGGAAAAACTAATTTTGTAGAACTTCTGTTATTGAAGAAACAGCCTTCATCCACACGTTGTATACACTTTTCGTTAAGTATTGATGGCCCAAATGCGTCGACGTCTCGTCGTGTTAAAACAACATTATTACACACAACACCAATTTTCTCGTAGAAGTATTTACTTGTTGTAAAACTTACTTCAAATTCACAGCACGTGATTGGTGCATTACCAATTCGTATTTCTTGAAGGGAAGTACAACCAGAAAACACGTCAAATTTAATTTGGACTTTTTTCTGATTGAAGCAAACAGTGTTTAGTTTTGCGCAGTTCATAAAGCGCCCATCTTCTACAAGTAACACACTTTCAGAGTTAAATGATGTCAATGAAATGCAATTTTTGAATGCAAATTTGCTAATGTGTGTAACTGAGTTTGGTACACTTATTTCACTCAATTTATAACACCTAAAGAACGCGCAATGTGGAATATTTGCAAGTCCATCAAAAAGTATAATTTTTGACAATGAAGAACATCTTTCAAAGACCGAATTGCAAATGTATTTTGTCTGTGGGATACTAACAAGATTATCACACATACTAAAACACTTTCTTCCAAGAATGACATTTGTGTTACACAATATAGATGTCAACGATACACATCCATAGAAACTAAATTCAGACAATTTTGTGACACTTTTGGGAAGTTTTATTGTTTTTAGACTGAAACAATTTTCAAAACAATTAGATGGGATTTTGATTGTATTGGTTGGCAGCACGACACTTGTGAAATTCACCCAATTTTTGAACAAATTTTTGTGTAACTTAACATTGTCACTAATGTTCACATGAGACCCATGGTAACACATCCCCAGTCCTATTGATGGTGACGATTCCAAGTATTTTAAATTATCGTTAGATAGATCAACCGAGTTTAT